CGGGTCAAATAAAATATATTATGTGCTCTCCATCATTAAGACTCTTATGATGAATATTCATACCCCAACTTTAATTTATAAGTCCCCGAAATTCAATTTCGGGCTTTTATCGGTTAAATTGCCAATACCGGTATTTAGGCCTCTTTGACCAATCGGTCAACTCCGGACCTTTCCATGGCTCAAATGAGTTATCCTCCACCATATAAATATTATCTAGACCAAGATGAATAATTTATGTGGTCCCGGGAATATCGGGCGGCCCCCGCTCCCGGTGCGGGCCCCACGTGCGGATTTACTATTCGTGCAAAAGAACTAATAAAAATTCACAACTTCGAATACTCGTTAACCATTTCATAAGGTTCAATACAATATACTCTTAAAAGTAAATACATTTGGGGACGGCGCTACAAAACGGCTGTCCAAATACATACCCCGATCGATCACATTGCCCTGCACAGAGGAACCCTTGGAGACGATCAACCCGAGTGGCCTGCCACTACGTCGCCGGAAGAGGGAGAAGAAGAATAACGTCGCCTGCCGTTGGAATAGAAACTCTCTCGCCGGAAAGAAGAAAAAGAGAACACCGGAGTACTGAAACTGCGATGCCGAAGTTGGGAACGGAACTGAGTTGACTGGACCTCGCTGCTGTTGTTGACTACTGATGCGTCGGAAACAAGGACACCGCATACTCGCCGGGAGAACTGCTGTGCGAGTGAGACGAGTTGCTGCCGCCACCGCCACCGCCGCCGCCTGACACAACCGGCACACCTCAGCTGCTATCGGGGAGAAGGCCGCCTGGAGAGTTATGAGTAAAGAGCGAGCTGTCGATAGCCTTACGCACGCTGGAGAGAATCCATGAACACGAAGAGTATGTGTACGTAATTTTGTTCTCCGTATTACGTTTAAATTTTGGGCCGGCCAAGTTGATGGATGAATTATAATGTTATTCGAAGTAATAATTTCTATGGACTATTGGACTTATTAACTAATAATTCGGCAATTTAATTTAATTGATTATTTAATTGAATAGATTAATTAGGTGATGAGAATAAATTAAAACCGTACTATGTATCGGTAAAATCATAAGAGGGGAATTTATAATGAGTGGTTATTGATATTAGAATTTTAATATTCTAAGAAGGTGAATTGAGTGAGAAGCAAAGTAGAAGATAAGAGTACTTGGAGTTTGAGGTAAGTTTCACGTCAATCAAAATTATACCTTTTCCTCGCAAATCTATTTATGATCATTTATTTGAATTATTTGAGTATTTGATGAGATTTCTAGCAATTACATTTACGTATTAAATTAGTTGCGATTGAGATTTTTATTTGAGTATTTGGAATTACTTATGAATTGTTATTGAGAAATTATATTTGAAAATTGAGTATTTGATATTGGATGATATTTTGAGTATTTGAGTTATCGTATGAATTGTTGTTGGGATTATATTTGAGATTTGAGCTATTTATGAGGTATTCTATATTTTGGCTCTCTTGTGAAATTTTAATGTATGATACATTATATTTGAGTGTAATTTGTTGGAGTTAATATTTTACATTGTGGATTATTTTGTGGAGTTTGGATTTCATATCCGTTTTGGTTGAGGTTGTGATATTGGTTTGGGACTTTGAAAATGAATTGTGATTTTTGGTGAGCACCCGGAGAAATCTGTGGTGTCGGTTTGCCACATCCGGATAAATGTGGAATCTTTGGTGAGTGGTAATGGCTATAAGTCTAAATCCACCAGGGGTACTCCCCAAAAGCGGAGTATCCCAGCTTAATTGTAGTGTAGTTGGTAGAAAAATCCCGACTACTCGGGCTTCTTACTTCCCGGAGGGCTTGGAATCCCTTTTCGGGGGTGTGCACACTTAAGGTAGGAGTTCGGCTTCCACTGGCTTTAATTGGGTTTGAGGTGAACTGGATTTTGATTGGATTGAGGTGATTGTGATTATTTGATTGGCTTGATTTGGACTTAAGGTGAATATTATTTGATTGGATTTTTGGTGGAATTGAATTATTGGATTGATTGGAATTGTTGGATTATTGGATTGGATTGTATTTGGACTGAATTTGAGTTGGATTGAGTTGTTAAATTATTTATGAATTGTTAGAGTATAAATACTTTTATATTTGATTTGGTTTGATTATGTTACCCTTTACGAGTATTTATAAGTATTTTGAGATAGATATTTGGTGTTTGATTTATGCTTTGGAATTATTGTAATTATTTTTGGTGGTTTTATGTATATTTGGTATTTTTGTAATTATTGTGGTTTGGAAATATTTACTTATATTTGAAGTACTATTATTTTACTAGTGAATTATGCTATGAGAAGATTTTATAAATTGTTTTAAAAAGATTTTTCCTCCTAAATGTTTCATTTCAAACATATTAAATTTTATTATTTTATAGGGTTAGGTGGAACTTACTTAGCATTGTTGCTAATTTTTGTTTTCTTTTGTTTTTCTTTCTGTACTTGATTTTGTACAGGTAACACTTTGATGATGATGTTGATTTCGAGAGAGTTTCCGCTAGAAAATACAATTAGTAAATCATTGTAATTCCATTTTCAATATCTTTAGTTAGTGAATAATTATTTTTGGAGTTTAATTTGTTTTAGCCTGTGCACTCGGTTAAGGGACAACTGAGTGTGGCGGTAACGCCCCTATTCCCTTTTGAATTTTCCGCTGCATAACTCTGATGCTTTCGAATAAAATTAATAATAAAGTATTATTTTAAAGTGTTTTTGAGTGGGAAATTTGGGGGTGTTAAATCCATCCCCAGGTCTTCTTCCATCCCCAGGTCTTCTTCATCAAGAAATGTGTCAATTGGAACATCACACAGGTCAATATTGGCAGCCATCTCAGTTCCAGCCATCTCATTTTGGGATATCTGACTTTCCTCCATCTCAGATTGATTGTGTGGAAGTTTATTTCTTCTTTGTTTTAACTTCCTTCTCCGTTTGGAATGCAAACCTTCAACTTCCATTTCACCTAAACTTGCATCATCATCAACTACAACTGACTTGGATGGTGGCAACAAATACAATTCACAAACTCCACATGTAGAAGCCAGATTGACCAAATCCAAAGTGGTAGCATCATTGACTAACTCCCTTAAACATTCCAAAGGTTCAGGAGGCAGTTTATACATCAGCTTGCCAAAGCCCCCGAATGGTCCAGATTCTATAAACTTTTTCAGATGTGGATAACTGACTACATCAGGGTCACTTTTAATTATCTCTCTGCATCCATTAGTGTACTTCATAGGAGAGCATGATTTTAGGTTGCCACCGTAGTGTAAAATGATGTCCAATGTTTCCCACATTCTAAAACAACAATAAATACTCAACATTAATGGGTTTTACAATCACTTAGTTTTCAAAGTCAAATGGTAAAACAATACAGACTCAACAAAATCTGGTAAACAGATACTTCGCTTTATACATAACCCATTACACAATATTACAGAAACAAACAAACAATGCCAATGAATCAAGTCAGTCACTTCGTTTACCTTAAACTCTTGAAGTCTTCAGTGCGTCGACGTCCGCACACACGTCTTGTTCCTCTTCTCCTCTTCACACACACGTCTTCTTCCTCTTCTCCTCTTCGCGCTCTGACTTTAGCTCTTCGAATTAGACTTTAGCAGTTAGCAAGTTGAAATTAGGGTTCACTTTTTGTTGAATGAATTGTAATCTACGTAAATGGATTTGTTAATTACACGTAGGCTTCTTTGGGTTGGGGTGGGAGGAATTAATGACTCAGCTTTAAATGAAATGTGAAACCTGCTGACTAAGCAAGTAAGGGGGGAGGAACGGGAAGTTACCGGGTGAAAGTAGGGATTGGAGTATTTAATTGGGTTGGTGGGCTGGATTGGAGTTTTTTTTGGTCTGGGGTGCGAATTGAGCAATTGCTATGGGTACGGGGGCCTATTTGGCCCTTTAGCCATTTTATTATAACCTATGTGTCATACATTATAATACATCTCATTTAACTATCACATATCACTAATATAAATCATGTAAAATGACTTATATTACTCTATATTACAAAAATATAGAAATGATTCCATATTTTGTGTATATCTTATTTTGTCCTAATCTCTTTCGTATACTTTAGTAATGGCCAAATTACACATGTAATTCCTAATGAGTTGGGATAAATAATATCCAATGTGATATGACATTTCTAATAATAGGTATATATACACTCACACTAAATTAATATATATATGTGTATGTGAAAAACCCAATGCAATGTATAGTATAAATACACACTATTATGTATAAATCACTAATGTATAATTATGATTGAAATGATATAAGTTAATATACATTATAAGTCCATACATGGGACATTTTAGATTAAAATCACTTACCTAACGTATTTGGTTATATCCCACATTTACGACAATATATGAAACACTTGTATCAGTACCTCAAGACAATTCAGTCTCGGAGATTGGAACAAATCACGATATTGTATAACAAATCCGATTTGCCTAGATTGTGCATACGACAACGAAAAGTGGATTTTCGAGTTGCATTGGGTTCCTATATCATAGACACACATTTCTCCGTGACAATGAAAACACTTTTCGCATGGGTCACGGAGACTAAACCCGAGTATAGAAGTGTTTTCGTTGCACAATCATAGAAAGAAATCTAGGAGAAATACACATGTATTTTCGGGTCCAATCTCCATAAACCCAATGCAACTCGAAAATCCACTTTTAGTTGTCGTATGCACAATCTAGGTCAATCTCTGTGACTCGGTTGATTTAGTGTGACACTCCGAAAAATAAAAATAAAATAAAATACTCCGTAGTTAATTAAATAACTTAAAAGTTTAACATATGATGATAAAAGTGACATTTTAACAAATTTTAATTCAAAGGTATGATGAGTTAATATATGTGCACAATATACATTCTATACCACTAATAATTCTAACCAATATGTAAAAGTTGACTTTCCAACTTGAGATTAGCGATACATGTACACTTACATATAAGGAATGATCACCATGGTATTATAACAAAGAAAACAATGAAAATATATAAATGGTAACATTACGTAGATATTATGGATCGTACGGCTACTGGAATCTTCTGGACTAAGCTTTAGCTTAAACGCATGAAACAACCCTAATCCTTCATACGGGTATAAGTATGTGCCATTGCCTCAAAAGATAACGCAGCCACACTATAGGAAACAGAGCAAACAATTGTGGAACAGAGAGAAGAAAACAAAGTGAAAAAAACGCTGAGGAGACGCCGGGATGGATCAATCGCACTGCTCTGCACCAAAACAAAGGAACTGGCCCCGGAGATGATCGAACAACGCGAGTAGCTAGCCTGCAGTGCCCGTCGCAAGAAGAATAGAGATATCGTCTTCGCCGGAGTGATACCAAACTCGCCGTTGGGGCTGATACGAGACCAAGCTGCTGCCATCAAACAGTACCGTCGCCTAACACCAACCGATGCTGGGGAGTTCACCACTGTAAGCAATACAAGGATATAACAATTCTATGAACTACAAGCTATCTTTCAAGCTTAACAAAGATCACACAAAGGAGAGGAACTCAACTAATCAAAATGCATAACTTAGGCTCTATCTTATAATAGCCATTACAAAGAATAATATAAGTAATACGTGCTCACTAACTACACTACATAAAAACTAACTTATAGAGGCACCTCTTGGAGGCAATTGAGATAATATTGCCTCAAAATGTTATCTTTAGCATCGGATAAATCATGATTGCCTCTAAATTAAGTAAATCGAGGCAACTATATTCGAGGTGCCCCTAAAAAGTATTATTTGTGGCAACATTATAGAGTCTGCCTCTAAAAATTTGTTGCAAAAGCGTAGTTGCCTCTAAAGCAATTGCATCTAAAACAATTTGAGGCAATTTCAATTTTTTGAGCCTCTAAAAGATATATTCAACAACAATTAAAATATAATTGCCTCTAAAAGTGTAACTTAACGATAAATTGAGGTCTCAAAAATCTTATGACTTTGTAACTTCCAATTGCAACCACCCGTAAATATATATATATATATATATATATATAAACGCAGTCAACTTCAAAAAATGATTTGAATACCTTCCCGATCGAATATATCACAAACATGTCATGAATTTCCGGTCCGGCCGCTGAATGACGTCTGGGGCACGCAGTTTACGGTAGTATTTGTTGCTGATTTTTTTGTCCATGTTTTTCGTCAAGTAAAGTCTATCCCCTCCAAATTTCAGCTTCAAATTGAATCGGAAATTCCTGACCAGAATATTATTCTATATATATACATGTAAAATGCAAGTGAAATATAATTGAATTATAATTGATGTGTTTACTTGGACTGTAATCTGTCCCAGACCAGATCGACCAGACTTGGATAGTTATAAAATTACAAAGAGACTTGAAATAATCAGACCAAATCAGTTCAGACCAGACCACATCAGCAAATTACAATCCAAGTAAAAACATCCTTAGTTTTTAAAGTTGGTTATCCTAATCTAATTAATAATCCGTAATTTTTTCTTTTTAATTACCGGCTCCCTAATTTTCATTAACCGCCTTAGATTTTAGTTTTCAAAAAATTGGATACTTTTAACCAAATCCAAATTAGTATTGCTTTGCCGCTAACTATTCCCGCACTTCGCCACTTCTTTCTAACCCTACCGCAGCTTTAGAGGAGTTATCCCATTATTTTAGTTAGAACTTGCTTCCACGCAAACCAGAGGGAGGATTTTGAAGCGGGTAAAGAGGACCAGACCTGAACGGCGAAGCAGGAGAAGAGAAGCGATTTTTGAAGGAGCGATTTTTGAAGGAGCGAGAGCAAAATCGGAGAGAATAACCCTAGCCCAAATCAAGACAGGAGTGCCTTATTTCCGCATCAAGCAGAGACCGATTTGCTTGGCATCGTGAAGCTTGGCGTTTGATCTCACTATTCTTCTTCAATCTTCATCATCTCCTCCAGATATCATTTAACTCAAGCTTCTCAACAAGGTCGTAATATTCATCCTTAAATTTATCATCGCTTTGTTTGAATGCTTGATAAATACTCTATATTTATGATTTGTCCAGAATTTAATTAATTGAATTCCTAGTTAATAATGAAAGCATGGAATCCGATGGGCTAACACCCTACATGATACGCTTTTCTACTGTATTTTTTTGATTTAATATTTTTTAGGTTGCAGAGTCTAAATTTCAAAAAAAGAAGTTGGGAATTGTATGAACCTATATGGTTTTACACAAATCCTTATGAACAATTTCAGCCAAAAATGGTGTCTTTTTCCCTGAAATGGAATTAAGTTCCCCTGAAATTTTGTAGTCTCAACTCCTGAATTGAAGTAGCATATCCATTTTACAGCAAATCAGCAGAATAAAAACAGAATATTTATGATAATGAGGTTCCCCCAATGCATTTTAGTCATGTTTAACAGACAAGGATTATGTGATTTTCGCTAGCTATATATCTACTCAGTATAATAGTATATGTGAGTGTATATCCATTATCCATTGTTCAGTTTAGCAGTTTCATACTACAATACACAGAGGACTTTTCATGTCCAGCCGGCCTGAAGGGAACCACCGTCCGGACGAGGGCATTTCGGGAACTTCCCGGTGGAATTTTTTGATGAAATGTTTTGGGCATGTTCTTCATCAAGTCTAGTTTATCCATACCAAATTTCAGCTCAAAATTCGATTGGGAAGGCATTCAAATAATTTTTTGAAGTTGACTGGGTTTTTATATGTATACTTTGACGCAGTCAACTCCAAAAAATTATTTGAATGCCTTCCCAATCAAATTTTGAGCTGAAATTTGGTATGGATAAACTAGACTTTATGAAGAACATGCTCAAAAAATTTCATAAAAAAATTCTATAGGGAAGTGCCCGAAATGCCCTCGGCCGGCCGGCGGTTCCCGTCAGGCCGGCTGGACAAGAAAAGGACTCACAATACATATATGTTAGGGGAATTCTAGAATTCCAGTATGCAATCCTTTGTAGAATAAAGAGAATATATTAGTTTGAGATCTTGAATACCATTAAATTGATAAGTTAGCCATACTCTTCTACCCTAAAGCAGTTGCTCTATGTGAATATTGCGTGTTTCTGAAATAGTCATATTGAGTGAAGTACATCTTATTTTTCGTCAAACCTATCGGGTAGGAGATTCTATGAATCATGAGTGACCACTATAGCCCTAAAAATCATATCCAAATTTGTTTTGAGTAATTAACTAAAGTTATTGCTAGTTGAGTTCATAGTTTTACTTAAACTAAAGTTGACTTAAAACCAGATTTTTTTGAACTAAAAGGTTTCAAGAAATAGGTCTTGGTTTTTGGTCAAGAGTATGTCAAAATTCTCGTGAACATGTCATAGTGTCCCGCAAACCCACCATGAATTAAAAATCAGTCTAGGCATGAGGCAATTTGCAAACCTATGGTGAAGAAAATGCTTAAAAAATGGTTTTCTTTAGGCAATGTGATCAAGTCCTAGGAAGCTTGTACCAGGTGCTAGGCATGTTTCACCAGGATATTTTTATGGATACTGCACCTTTTATTACTTGTGTAGAAGTATCAGACATAAGTTGCAATTATATGTTGCGTTTTTTCTTGGGCACTTAGAATTTATAATAGGGCATCTAGGCATTCTGGGTACTTGTGTCAGAAGCTAGCAATTTCTGTAAGCATGAATGAACACAATAAAACGGTCTCTCTCATTGATACACGCTTTAGATGATTAGAGTAAAATTTCTTGAAAATCTTTTATTAGGGTTTCAACAACCCATGAAAAATTGATAATGAGGTTTCCTGGATGTGATTTTTGCTAGTTGTATACCTGCTCAGTATAATAGTATGTGTGCAGCAGTTTTTTTTAGCTTCTTGGTGTGTAATTAATTGATTAATTAATTAATTTATTAATTATATCACTATACCATTTCCTTATACTAATTACTCTACAGCCTTTCCAATTGAACTATATGATTTGTCTATAATCTTCATTTTTTATGTTTGAGAATTTGATTAATACATTACAGTTGTATTTTTTTCAAAACCATCTTGAATTTAATCACCTAAGTTTCATTGATGGTTATTAAATTTTACTTTTTAAATTTTATTTACCAATGAAACTTATCCCTTATATGACTATAAATTATAGAACATTATTATGGAGTCCAAAAATCGTGAGTGGATGCAGTATAAGAAGAATGATCCCAAGTATAAGGTTGGTGTACAGCAGTTCTTAGAGTTTGCGTTTTCTCACAAGAATGTGCATGATGTGGTGCCTTGTCCTTGTGTGAAGTGCAATAATGAATTGAGGAAAAATAGAGAAGAAATAGAGTTAGATTTGCTTAAATTTGGTATTGTTAGGAGTTATACACGTTGGTTGCGTCATGGGGAGAACACAGAAAGTAGGCCGACTCATAGCAATATTGGACTTCAGCCAACTGAATATTCAGAGTATAATTCATTATTTGAAATGCTACATGATGCATTTGGAATGCCACGGGAAGAAGATATAGGTAATGAAGAAACTAATGTGCATGGCTATGGTGATCCTTTAGAATCTGTTGATAGCTTTTACAAAAGTATGGCTGAGCTCAAGTTAGAATTATATCCAGGTTGTAAGAAATTCTCAAAGTTATCCTTCTTGCTTAAGTTATTCCACATAAAATGCTTAGGTGGAATAAGTGATAAAAGTTTGGCCATGCTTCTTGAACTATTTAAAGAAGCATTACCTCAAGGCAACACTTTACCAGATTCTTACTATGATGCTCAAAAAATAATAAAGAGTTTATCTCTTGAATCCATAAAAATTGATGCATGTCCCAACAATTGCATGTTATTCTGGAAGGAATATGCTAGTGCAGAGGAATGTGTAATATGTAATGCTTGTAGATGGAAAGCAAGAGAAAATAATAATGCATCTTCTCCTTTAAAGGCTAAGCAAAGAAAGATTCCATGTAAAACAATGCGTTATTTTCCACTGATTCCTAGACTTCAGAGGATATTTATGTCATCCAAAACAGCTGCAAATATGAGATGGCATCACGACGAACGAGTTGATGATGGGATAATGAGACATCCAGCAGATTCTAAAGCATGGAAAACACTTGATGAACTATCTCCAACATTTGCATCTGATTCCCGAAATGTTCGACTTGGTTTAGCAAGTGATGGGTTTAGCCCCTTTAGAAACGGACATATCACTCATAGTACATGGCCAATAGTTCTTATCCCATATAACTTACCTCCATGGCTTTGCATGAAACAACATTCTTTAATTCTTTCCACACTTGTTCCTGGTCCTACGGGACCTAAGGATAAGATTGATGTTTATCTGCAACCTTTAATAGACGAATTGAAGTTTCTTTGGGAGGTTGGTGTTGAAACATATGATGCTTCAAAGAAAGAGAAATTTAGAATGTTTGCTGCAGTACTATGGACAATAAGTGACTTTCCGGCATACGGTGATCTTTCTGGATGGAGAACTAGTGGGGCTGTAGCTTGTCCATCATGTAATAGTGAGACTTGCTCTTACAGATTGAAAAATGGATCAAAACACTGTTACATGGGCCATCGCAGATTTTTGCCTACTGATCATGAATGGAGATATGACACAAGTAGCTTTGATGAGAAGCTTGAATTAAGGCCTGCACCTAAAGTGTTGTCTGGTGATGAAATTTTGAAGCAATTAGCTGACCCTGAAGATGTTATATCAACTTCAAGTAAGAGTAAAGCTAAGAAGAGAAAGAAAGAGCCATTATGGAGAAAAAAGAGCATCTTTTTTGAACTTCCATATTGGAGTAGTCTTCCATTACGTCATAATTTAGATGTTATGCATATCGAGAAAAACGTATGTGAAGCTTTACTGGGGACGTTGCTAAATATTGAAGGAAAGAGCAAAGATAACTTTAGTGCACGTCTTGATTTGGAGGAGATGAATATAAGAAAATCATTGCATCTTAAAAGGCGTAGAGATGGAACTATAGAGATGCCAGCAGCTCCTTATACATTATCCTCGCAGCAAAAAAAGGATTTTTGTAATTTTTTGACAAGTGTAAAATTTCCTGATGGCTATGCTTCTAATATTTCAAAAAATGCGTTGCTAAAAAAGAAAAAACTCTCTGGTTTAAAAAGCCATGATTTCCATATCATCATGAAGCATTTGTTACCTCTTGCAATACGGAGTTGGCCTATCACCTTATCTGCACCACTTATTGAGTTGAGCACCTTTTTTACCAAGTTATCCTCTAAGGCATTACAAACAGTTGAGCTAGAACAATTACAAAACAAAATTGTCACAATCATGTGTGAACTGGAAAGAATATTTCCACCTTCTTTTTTTGTGATTATGGTGCACTTACCCATACACCTAGCAAGGGAAGCTATCGATGCTGGACCGGTTCCATATCGCTGGATGTACCCTATTGAAAGGTAATATGAATTTCAGTTTGTGTTTTTATAATTATTTAATGTTATTAGTTTATAAGATGCTAATATTTTTTCATTCAATAGGTATCTATGTAAATTGAAAGGGTATGTGCGCAATAAAGGTCATCCTGAGGGTTCAATTACAGAAGGATATCTTTTAGAGGAGTGTTTGACATTTTGTTCAAGATATATGGAGGATATAGAAACGAAATTCACTAAGCAAGATAGAATTTTAGATGATTGTGACGTGTATCCATCTCCAGATTGTTTGTCCACTTTTCTAACAAGAGGCAAAGCACTGGGAAAGGCAACTCCGAAATTAGTTTCAACAAATGAATGGGAAGAGATTCACTTTTTTGTGTTGAACAATTGTGATGAAGTGAAACCGTTTATCGCGTAAGATTTTCAACAATGTTTTCTCTTAAATGATTACGTTGAAGTCTATAATTTAAATTTTACATATTGTTTTGATAGTGATTACCATGGAGAAGTTGCAAATACAACACTGATGACATCAATCCAGAAAAAGAAATTTATTCTGTGGTTTAGAGAGCGAGTAAGACTTTCCACGAAATCAGGCTTGCTTAATTCTTACGTTGTTTTATGTTAACATACGTAATTAATTATATTATCTCTATCTACAGGTGACAACATTGTCCCAGGAAAATCACTCAAGTGTTACGAAACACTTACTAGCACTAGCACATGGCCCTGATCGTGCAGTAACTTCTTTTAATGGCTACATGGTTAATGGTTTCATGTTTCGCACAGTAGATTCTGAAAGGGGAAGGGAGACACAAAATAGTGGGGTTGTTGTGAAGGGGGAGAGTGGAGCAGAAAATCTTGAGTATTATGGAGTCTTGAAAGAAATCATAGAAGTTCAATATATCGGAGGGAATCGGGTGACATTGTTCAAATGCGATTGGTGGGATATTCATAGTCAGGGCAGAGGGATAGTTACTGATCTTTTTGGGTTCACTAGTATTAACACAAGAAAAGTGTTAGCTAATGATCCTTTTGTTTTTGCTTCTCAAGTAGAACAAGTTTTCTATGTTGATGATGTTGTGAAGCCGAACTGGAAGGTAGTAGTTAAGATCAAACCAAGGAACTTCTACGATGTCGCTGAGCAGCCAAATGGAACTGATAATATGGATGATACATATCCATAAACTGACCTAGAAAATATTTAGACGCCCTTTTGGCTTTTAACATGGATCCTTTTTTTCCATATATCTACATAGTATTGATTATTTCACTTATTTTGTTTTATTCTCTTCAAAATCTATATATTGACTAGAGTTTAAAGTTTCAGTATATTGCCTAAGCATGAGCATTTCAGTTTTAGCATTTATTTGATTATTGTATAGTGTGATATGTTAAAAAGTATTTTTTTCTATGGTAATAGCTTTATTATGTTAAGAGTTATTAGAAGAAATGTACATACTAAACAGGTTGAGATGCCGCTGAATGAGTATGAGCAGCAAAGACTCAAGAATATTGAATCTAATAAGTTCAAAATGAAGTCTTTGGGTATCAAACGTATTGTTGCTTCAATGAGTAGTCTGGTTGATAACACCAGCGAAAAGAGAAGAAAACTGAAACCTAAGCAGTGCTTTAAGGAAAATGGTGATTATGTTCTCGGTGATAATTATGAAGCTACAAATTCTGCTGCGAGAAAGGTATTTCCATTATTGATTATGTTAGTTTAGTTATTTTTATTTGTAGTTTTTATGTTGTTAGAAATATCCATCACTCACTTTTATGTTTAACATTCTAGACCCAAAGTGTACCAGTGAAAGAGAGGGCAAAAAAACGAAACTTCATTCCACCAGCGTCACTTGCAAGGATGTTTAGAATGAACAAAAAACAGCAAGCAATAGTATCCACTGCTATTAAAGGTGTTCAACAAGGTTCAATATATACATAAATTATTTATCATCTTTTCATATAATTTACATGTCCATGAATAATAAAGCTCAAATACATGATCTAGGCATTAGTAGTGCAGAACAAGTAGAAGGGGATCAAGACAACATTGCTTCTGATGAGGGTATGCAATTCATTTTTAATTTTCAATCGATGACCACTGCTATTATATTTACTATAAACGAAGTATTTACTATATATTTATTGGAGAGTCAATGTTGTAGATATGGAGGAGCAATATAATACGAACAATGAAGATTCTGATACAGATAAAGGTATACAATATGTAAAAATTAAAGTCATATTATACTTTTTAATTCATTTTTTAGGAAACAATTTATTCCTTGTATTTTCCTGTTTTGGTATCCGAATGTATACTTAGATGAAGAAGAAGATAATACCAGTCTAATTAAGAGGACTAGCTATGACATGGATCTACCTGATGCTAATAACATAGGAGGAACAGTTATTTCTCAAGGTATGACTTTTTCCATTTTTAATTTTGTTGTCAGTTAACTACTTAACTTCATTATGAATAATGGTACTTCTATTCCATTAACATGATTTATGCATTAAAGCGATGTTTGCTCAATGAATTATTTTTATCTTTCGACAGTTCATCGGAAGAAAAAAGTGTACAAAACTAAAACTCCTAGAGGTCCTACGCGGAATCTTTATATGGCTAGAATGAGACCGGGTGAGAGGAAAAGGGTAGATTTTAACATAAAGGGCCAACCTGTCGGTGTGAATAGAGCTAGCTTGGCAAACTATTGTGGTGCCCTTGTCCGAGATCCTCTAAATGCACCCCTTTATAATGTGAAAGACTTTTCAGAAATCCCCAAAACGAATAAAGACAGAATGTGGCAGCTTATTCTGGTATTAAAATTATTTAGTCCACCTATAAAGTATTTCTCTTCTATATATTCATTCCTTTTTGCTATTAAGAACCACTTCATTTTGCAAGGAAAAATTTGATATTGGTCTTGATGATGTTGAAGATGAAGAGCATCGTGAAAAGTTAGAAAAAGAGCGACACAAAACTCTGATGCGATCATTGAATAAGAAATACAGAAATTATAGAGCAAGGTTGAAAAGTACTTATTATGACACAGAAGAAACAGATGCTGAACGATTAAAAAAAGAGAATAAGCCACCTCGTGTTGAGGAAAAAGACTGGAAGTGGCTTGTCCAGTACTTTGGGTCTCCTGACTTTCAGGTAATTAGTTTGTGTGCTTGTTTAAACACATATTTCACTCTATGCTACTGTTCTAGCTAAGTATACACTTCACAACTACACTTTTATTGAATGAGGTTGCACTTAACTTTTTAAATTTGTTATATTCTTAGAAAGCACTAACAGTATTATTTTATCAAAACCCACAATCATGGTATTTATTTACCACTCTCACTCTAGACTTTTTCCTCCACCCCTATCAGTAATAATATATTTGGTCTATGTGTAATAAAAAGTTGTTTTATTAATAATGACATATTTTTTTTGTTATAGAAAATGAGTAAACGAAATCGTGATAACCGTTCATACTTAGATGCTGGACACACTGCTGGTTCAAAGAGTTTTGCTCAAGTGGTAGAAGAGATGGTAATAAAAATTTATTTATTGTGATTTATTTTTATATTGTTTATTTATTTATCCGCTAAAACAATACTTCTTTCATATTAGTTTGAAACTGACCATGTAATGCCGGGCATGCTACAAGTGTACAAGAAGACTCATACTAGACGTGATGAAACCCCGGTGACTAATGTTGCAAAGGAAACTATGGTAAATGAGTATCGTTCACTTATAGTCAATAAATTAATCTGATTTTTATCAGTGTGCTTTAACTTTTATCAGGTCAAATTTGTACATGATTCAAAAAACTCAAACTTGATGATTATTGAAATCTTAGCAGTGTGGTTTCATGATTTTCTGCCTTTTTAAAATAACAAAGTACATATGTTGAATCGTACTGAGTTTATGAAATGATTGCATCACTTAGATACACATTGATGTCATATTATTTAAAGTGTACATGTGCTAATACACATCACTGAAACTATAGGCTTGTTTACTTGTAGGCTTAACACACATCACTGAAATCTTGGGTTGAATTGTGCTCGTTCAGAAAGCTAGTTTTACTTTATGCGAGTTTTAGTATGAGAAATGGGAATCGCATTGTACATGTATTGGATTTAGGGGATATAGTAGCAAGGATACATTAAGTTTAAAGCTTTCTGTAACAAATTTTGTATTAAGGATACACACTTAATAGGTATAACCCTTCACAAATATTTTCTTCTTAGTAGAGCCGGCTGTGAGTTTGTTTTTGCACGACTCAGTAGTGCCTTTGTGCAGCTTTCACATTCTCAGGTCATCCTTGCCACGTCTTCAAGACATTGATTTAGAGTCCATTCAGGTTCAATGTTGCATCCACTTCAGATTTTCGTCCAGACGACAACATGATTTTGTGATCCCAGGAACAGCGGGAAGGACTCTCCTTTTCAGCATAGTGAGAGTGTACTTGAAAATGTTATCTGGGGAAACCTTCTGTTTATGTTCAGCCCCTAGGGTAACCATGCTAGGTTCAAGTAGAATTCCTTTGAAGAAAACATTTTTTTCAGCCAAATATTATTAGAAAACCATTCCATACTCGCTCTGCAACCTCAAAAGTCCTTTCTATAGGATTGACTAGCATAATTGTGATGCTAGTTAAGGAAGTGCATAACATAATTCCGATTGTTTTTTAGTCCTATTGGTTTTTAACGGATGATTTATTAAACCTTGTTTGTATGCTAGTTGCAGGGGCAAAGCATTTTAAGTTACACTAGCTGCCTAGTGATTATCAGATTGGTTGTTAAAGTTACACAAGCTGCATAGTGTTGCATACTTATATATATAACTTTTTGTTGGTATACTCATTGCATATAACTTTTTTTGCAGTCACAAATGGAGAAACTTGTAGAGCAACGTGAGATAGGAGAAATTAATATGACTGATGAAGAAATTTATAAAACAGTCAAACGTAAAGGTAAATCTGGGCGTGATCGTGGCATGGGAGTAAGTCCTTCTATTACATCACTGTTGGGATCTATTAGCGAAGGGGAGAAGTTGCGTAAAGAAGCCGAAGAGGCCAAGAAGCAGGCGAGTGAGGCTAAGAAAGAAGCAAATGAAGCTAATGAGAAAAATAAAATGCTGACTAAGGAGGTGAACAATTTTAAAAATGAAGTCCGAGTTATGAAAGGTGTTATGGAAAAATTCTTCAACCTTATGGGCAGTGATTTTTCTAAGTTGATTGCGAAAGAGGTATTGCATCATTTTTTCATTATTTTCTATTAATAACTTTTTAAAGTTACAAATACTCATACAATTAAATTTCAAAATGACAGGTTGGCAAGAAGCATACTAAAGAGAGAAGCGATGATGGTTATGATGATGATGAGCATGATGGTTATGATGATGATGAGCATGATGATGATGACGATGATGATGAGCATGATGGTTATGATAATGATGATGATAATGATGATGATGATGATGATGAGGAGGAGGAGGAACATGATGATTATGAATGATCTCTCTAGGTTAATGTGTTGTCATTAAACTTTTAGATCTATGTTGTTTCATCTTCATTTTGTATTAGATCCAGTTAGTTTTGCTTCACACGGATTTGAGATAGATTAGATTGAACAAATAGTTTATGTAGTTAAGACATTCGGTTATTAAATGAATATTCATATTGATATTCTGTGTTACATTGTCATGGAAGCATTTGTTTATTTGTGGTATTTATGTTGAATGTTAGTGTATTTTTAATATTTTATAAAAGTATGAGGGAATTAGGTATCCATAATTATTATATCGATGCAACGTAGTATAATATCTCTAGTTCAGCACTAAGGCTGCCTCTAAAGGGTTTCCATGATAACATTTAAAGTTGCATCTAATAATTTTTAGAAGCAGTATAAAATAGTGCCTCTAATAATGTATTGAGTCATTAAAACTAGTTGCTTCTAATAGCATTTTGGATCAACATAAAGTGGTGGCCTCTAATGACATTTCGAGTCGACATAACGTGGTGGCCTCTAATGATATTTTGAGGCGAAAGGCTATGGTTGCCTCTAAATGTATCTTTTTGGAAGCACATTCTTGTTGCCTCTAAAGGGTGTTTTTAGAGGCAACCACTGTTTTTGCGACGGACTATTTGTTGGCAACCACTAAATTGCCTCCAGAAGTCATTAGAGGCTACTTTGCTATTTTTTGAGGCAATTATGGCATGCCTCTACAAATCCGTTTTATTGTAGTGCTAACTCCTAAAAAAGAGCCACGAAGCATGTCTAACCACATCAAGTTACTTGACTCACCCAACTCCTATAAAATAGCTATAAACATGCTAACAACCTTGACTTAATCTTTATTGAATAAATAAACAACTCTTGATAAATGAATTCCTACGTGTGCATGTCCACGCAGATCATGCCTGCATACGTCAAGCTTGATCACATTCAACACCTCCCCTTGATCCAAGCTTGCACATCCCAATTCTTTCCATGAAGTAGTAGTGTTTAGCTTGATTCAAGGCTTTGGTAAAAAGGTCTGCATTCTGCCAGTCTGTGCCACAGAATTGTAGTGCAATCTTCTCTTCAGCTACTAATTGTCTTATGAAGTGATGTTGCACATCTATGTGTTTAGTCCTCGAATGGCATGCAGGATTTCTTGCCATTGCTATTGCTGATTTATTGTCACACCAAATCTCAGGCTTCTCTTCTTGTTTGCAACACAAATCAGACAATAATTTCTTCAGCCATAGTGCTTGTTTTGCTGCAGCTCCTGCAGCCACATACTCTTCCTCTGAGGTTGATAAAGCCACAGTTTCTTGCTTCTTTGAGCTCCATGTAATAGCACCTGACCCAAGATCAAAAACTGACCTGGATGTGCTCTTTCTGTCATCCACACACCCAGCCCAATCACTATCAGTGTACCCTCTTAACTTCAACTCCTTTACACTTGAATATTGGATCCCATACTCAAGTGTTCCTGAAACATACTTCAAAATTCTCTTGGCTGCTCCCAGATGCTGCTTGGTAGGACTATGCATATACCTGGAGACTATACTTACACTAAGAGCAATATCAGGCCTAGAGTGTGTAAGGTAATTCAAACCTCCCACCATACTTCTATAGAACCTCTCATCAGCTTTTTCAGTTCCATCAGCCTTTTGCAACTTCTCACTTGTATTCATTGGTGTTTTGACTGCCTCACAGTTCATCATATGAAATCTCTTTAGCAGATCCATAGCATACTTTCTTTGGCATAAGAAAATACCCTTGATAAAGCAAGAAACTGTGGTTTTATCAACCTCAGAGGCAGAGTATGTGGCTGCAGGAGCTGCAGCAAAACAAGCACTATGGCTGAAGAAATTATTGTCTGATTTGTGTTGCAAACAAGAAGAGAAGCCTGAGATTTGGTGTGACAATAAATCAGCAATAGCAATGGCAAGAAATCCTGCATTCCATTCGAGGACTAAACACATAGATGTGCAGCATCACTTCATAAGACAATTAGTAGCTGAAGAGAAGATTGCACTACAATTCTGTGGCACAGACTGGCAGAATGCAGACCTTTTTACCAAAGCCTTGAATCAAGCTAAACACTACTACTTCATGGAAAGAATTGGGATGTGCAAGCTTGGATCAAGGGGAGGTGTTGAATGTGATCAAGCTTGACGTATGCAGGCATGATCTGCGTGGACATGCACACGTAGGAATTCATTTATCAAGAGTTGTTTATTTATTCAATAAAGATTAAGTCAAGGTTGTTAGCATGTTTATAGCTATTTTATAGGAGTTGGGTGAGTCAAGTAACTTGATGTGGTTAGACATGCTTCGTGGCTCTTTTTTAGGAGTTAGTTAGTGAGCACGTATTACTTATATTATTCTTTGTAATGGCTATTATAAGATAGAGCCTAAGTTATGCCTTGGACTGAGTAGAGTATCCAATAAAGATACACTTCTCAGCCTTATCATCTAGCTTAGCTCTTAGGTTGATAAGAGTATAAGCTATGCATCCAAAGACTCTGAGATGACCAACTGAGGGCTTCTTCTTCCTCCATACTTCAAATGGGGTCTGATTCTTCACAGCTCTTGTTGGTGAGATATTGAGTACATATACTGCAGTTGCAACAGCTTCACTCCAAAACTCAGTTGGTAAGCCCTTTGATTTCATCATACTTCTAGCCATTTCAACCACAGTTCTATTCTTCCTCTCTGCAACTCCATTTTGCTCAGGAGTGTATGGTGCTGTGAGTTCTCTTCTAATGCCTTGTTCTTCACAAAACTGAGTGAATTCTTTGGATAGGAACTCACCTCCCCTGTCTGTTCTTAAAGCCTTGACTTCTAGCCCACTTTGTTTCTCTACAAGTGCTTTGAACTTCTTAAAGTTCATAAAGGATTCTGATTTGTCCTTCTGAAACAATACCCAAGACATCCTGCTAAAGTCATCTGTAATCATTAGGAAGTATTTACTTCCTCCTAATGACTCAGTCTGCATAGGCCCACACAAATCAGCATGCAACTCCAAACATTCACTTGCTCTCCATGTATTTCCTTTTGGAAATGAGCCCCTAGTCTGCTTACCATATATACAACCTTCACAAAGCTGCAACTCACCAATTTTTGGTAAGCCATGCACCATCTCTTTTGTACTGAGCATCTGCAGGCTTTGAACATTCAGATGCCCAAGTCTGAGATGCCATAATTTGGCATTCTCCTCCCCTTTTACAATGAGTGCCCTACTATACTGACCTGAGATATCCAATGGAAAGACTTTATTCTTTCCCATTGCAATTCTCATCAGTACATCACCATTCTGTTTGTCTTTGATTTCACACATATCATTTTCAAAGACAACTGAATATCCACCACACACAAGCTGACCAACACTTAGCAAATTATGGGCAAGTTGAGGCACATACTGAACATTATGTAGGAGTTTTACCTTGCCCTGGTCAGTTTGCAATGAGATTGTACCAATCCCTTCCACATTGAGTTGTTTGCCATCTCCCAGTCTCACAATGCTCTTCTTGGACTCATCCATCTCTTTAAACATCTCCTTAGAACTGGTCATGTGATTGGAACACCCACTATCTACATACCATATAGATATGCCTCCATGGTCAGAATTATGTTGAGCCAAGAATAGATTCTCTTGCTCAGCATAATTAGACTTTGGTTCATCCCTTCCTGATTCTTTATCTTCTTCTTTTTTCCAGCACTGAGCTTCCTTGTGACCAGGCTTGTTACAATAGTAACATTTGAATGGACTTTTAGAGGTTTGAGATTCCTGTCTACCTCCATGGGGTTGACCTCTGCCTCTGCCCCTTCCTCTGTAGCCTCCTCTATTGCCACCTCTACCTCTTCCTCTTCCCCTGCCTGAGAAGTGAGGTTGTTGGTCTCTAGGTGCCTCTCCTCTAACCTGAAAGGCTTGCTCTTCCACTTTGTCACAGTCCATATTGCCCCTCTCCTCATAGGCTTGCAAGGATCCCTTCAACTCTTCAAAAGTGTAGACTTCCAGATCCTTAGCCTCCTCAATGGCACACACAAGTTGTCCATACTTGGGAGTAAGGCTTCTCATCACCTTGCTCACAACTTGCTGAGGTTTGATGTCCTCACCATAGGACTTCATTTGCTGAACAATGGTTGTAATTCTTGAGAGGTAGTCCTGCACTGATTCTTTTTCCTTTATGCGTGCATTCTCCATCTCCCTCCTGAGTGATTGTAACCTAACCATGATAACTTTCTTGTCTCCTAAGTATTCTTGTTTGAGAATACTCCAGGCCTCTTTAGAGGTAGAAGCTGCAGCAATACGAGGAAACACAGCATCATCAAGAGCTTGTTGTATGAGAAAAAGAGCTTTAGCATCCTTCTTTCTCTTTTCTCTAAGGGCTTGATCAGGCTCCTCAGGCTGATCATCAACAAACCCATCCTCAACCATGCTCCACAGCTCCTGAGACTTGAACAATGTCTTCATCTTGAGACTCCAAAAGTGATAATTCACTCCCTTGAACAAAGGAAGCTGGTTCACAGAACTGCCATTGCCAGAACCCTGCATATTGGAATTGTGTTTGTATGTTGTTTGTTGTTTCACTCGTGTGTTCCCTCAACCACAATGGTTAGATCTCTCACTGGCTCTGATACCAAATGTAAGCAATACAAGGATATAACAATTCTATGAACTACAAGCTATCTTTCAAGCTTAACAAAGATCACACAAAGGAGAGGAACTCAACTAATCAAAATGCATAACTTAGGCTCTATCTTATAATAGCCATTACAAAGAATAATATAAGTAATACGTGCTCACTAACTAACTCCTAAAAAAGAGCCACGAAGCATGTCTAACCACATCAAGTTACTTGACTCACCCAACTCCTATAAAATAGCTATAAACATGCTAACAACCTTGACTTAATCTTTATTGAATAAATAAACAACTCTTGATAAATGAATTCCTACGTGTGCATGTCCACGCAGATCATGCCTGCATACGTCAAGCTTGATCACATTCAACAACCACTTCCTTAGTTGTCTCCATCGGAAGAGAATATCGCCTAGAGGGGGTTCAGCAGACCGCCAGAGAAGAGGGCGTCACCAAGGAAAAGAGCCGCCGGTGCTGTACTGCTTCGCCGGTGGAGGTCAGTCGTTGCTGCCAGACCAACCTGCTGTTGCACGAACCGAAGACACCCAACTGTTGCGACCGGACTTCGCCAGCTTCATCGCGCAGA